ATTCCAAATTTGATACTTAGGTCTCTCATCAGAATGGTTCTGAGCACCTCTCTATGATCAGTTGCATTCTCTTGTAAAACTGATCTTTATTTCGTCGTTGCTACCATTGGTGAGTGCATAAGATTTAGTTAACATTCATTGTGATTCCTCCCTTCTTTGTTGTGAAAGATCCCTTGATGATCCAGTATCCGTGAGATTCCAGTCCTATAAGTGTTTCACGTGCTTCTTTAGAGAGCATCAAAGCAACTCCCTGAGTATGTGGAGCATTTTCTTCTTCGTGACCAGAGTACAGCATCATCTCTCCCAAATCCATACTTTTCTGTCCAGCTTGGGTTCAATAGGTCTCATTGATTCCGAGAACCATTAATATGCGTCTCCTCATTTCCGTAACTATTTAATTAGTCCTGCGGGTCTCCCACATTGTCCGGACATTCCATGTACCTATATTCACTGTTTCTCTATTTATTAGAAATGGTATCTGTCTCGTGAATTTCGAGGAATATCGACTTTCACTATGAGGCGTTATAATTCTTCTCTCAACTCCCGTGGTGGAGTTTAAATGGTTTAATTTGTTTATTCTGGTTAGCTTTTCTAGCAAGTTTGTTTTCTACGGGATGGGGTTGATGACCCCATGTCAACCCTCCTCCCTTGCCCGGGCTTGGGACTGACAGTAACCCTAGAAGAGCTACAGGAGGAATTCTAACTTGCATAATGTAGCCCGAAAGTAACCCATGAACTGTTAAAACATTTTGGAATTGCCAGCACCTCAAAGGTAGTTTAAATGAACACTATATTAAACATACCTACTTAAAATCTTTCTAATGTACAGTTCTTATAAATAATTGAAATTTCATCTACCCCTACTTCTAAAGACACTGTAACCAACCTAGAATCTTGTCCCATTTCGGTCTACTCGAAACAGAGCTAATACTTTGACTGTTCAGTCGGTGAAATTAAGTATCTAATACTTACTGATCAGTTAAGCAAAATATGATGTAAATAAAGTAATGAGTTATCAGCATTTAGGCATTATTAATCAGATTCTTCAGTTTTACAACGATACTCAAATTGTTGCTGATTTAAATTTAATCCTTACAACAACTTAAATCTTTACTGCTATGTCTATCAATGAGATTAATATTTAAGAATCAGTTCTTTTTGCCAAAATTTCTCTAATTTTAAATTTGTTTATTAGAAACAATGTTTTGTTAAATTTTTGTAAATAGTTTTAATGTTCAGTGAATTAGTCTTTCTCAATCATACAACCAAAAGCTTTTTAAAAGAAATTGATCATACCACGTCAAGCAGAAAAGGAGATAAGGAAAATTTACATAAAAACTGAATTAAACCTTTGTTTAGAACATTTTGTTTTCTTTGTTCACAAGTAACACCATTTAGTGTAGAACTAATTTAAAAATAAAAGTAATAAGTTTATTTATATGTAGAAAATAACAGCATGAAAAAATTCAGCGTTTAAGTCATCATGATTTTAAATGATGAAACCACTGTACGCTAACTGACATAGTAAAATAAATTTTGTCGACAATAACAAGTGTATATGTATCTAATACTAAACTTATTAACTATAGTCCTTTTACTCATCGTAAAACTAATTTTGGACAGATATTGTTAGCTATTTCAGAAAACAAGGTCGAAAGTTTATTATGACCACATTAATGAAGTACCGTGTTAATAGAAAACTTACTAATCATATTAATCAACTAGAAACATCTGAAATGATACCCCTTCAGGCTTTTTTCTTTATGAAAACTGATCACATAGAAGTGTACATTTATTGATGCATTGTTCGGTATTGAAATAGAACTATAAATTATATCACGATTTTCCAGGAATCAAAGAAAGTTATCCTAGACTGCAACACATAAGATCTATTTTCTTGTTTGAAGTGCTTAATTAGATAAAGCATTACCTCTAAGTGTGAATAAAATCATTTGATTGTTTAATGATAAACGTGAGATTTTAACTAACCTGAATACTATGATGAACAAGAAAAAACTCCAAATTTTGCAGACGCATTAGTTGATTGTTTCACAAAAAGTGTACAGAGTATTGAAATGGATATTTTTAGCTCAAGAGGACGATTTTCAGGGTATTTCGTTCTCTAAGTTGCATGATTTATTCGCGAGGCTATCATTTTCTCTCGAGATAACATCAACATATTTGATTTTGACCTACTAACAATTACTTAAAAATTAAAAGATACTGACCATCTAAACTCATGAACGAAACACAACAGTAATTATGAATAAAAGACTAGATTATATAGCTGTTTAATATTTCTCCACGTGAAAATATTAAGTCAAGAAAGTATCAAACAGTGAATAGTAAAGTGAAATCAGGGATAAACCTACTTTTAGGAGTGAAATCATTCAACCGAATCTGTGTAGTTTACACTACAATCTAGAACATGGCTCCAAAAAAATACATAAACCTGAAATCACACTAAGATCCAGAGTAGATTTTACAAACACAACTACATATTCATGATTCGAATACCTTGGTTATATTTTTAGGCATTTTTAGAAACACATGAGCACATTATTTAAAAATCCTTATGGTTTCAAATCTACAGTATCTAAAGTAACTACTACCAAGTGCCTCCTACCACACAGCCCATGATGTTCTATCAATATACACACGTATTTTCGGTAAATACAGTATGTATGTCTTGTAAAGCAGATGTCCATCAACTATCACTTTAACCGGAAATTTCTGTGCCCAATTTTAACAATTTACAGACTCAGAAGGGAACTATAGTAGCAGACAGGCGAAGTATTGATGAGATATTTCATGTTCTCTATCACCCCAAATCTATTCACCTGACATAAAGCCTCTCACTCTCGTCAGTGCTAATGGAGCGCATGTTTGACTTCGATGTTTAAATAATAAATTTGTAAGCTTAAAATTTTTCCTACAAACATTTCAGAACCTTCTCGCGACAAAACATATCCTCTAATAATAACTTTACATACTAACTGTTGATATTATGAGTTTTCAACTAAGTCATGCTTTCCCTATGTTTAGCAAAACAAGTTGATTGTCACTACCTCAATGATTTTTATTTGGTGGTCTATAATGTTAATAACCTTGGACAAAGTGTACTCAATGACCACGAGTACATTTGAAACGAAAGGATAATTTTTGTGAAAAGCATGGTTTGATGACTAAAGTACTGGGCCTTTAACGACTAGGCAACATGTTGGAACCCAATTTACCTACTTCAGTTTTGTCTGTCACAAGGTATCACCAGTACTCATACAAACAACGTGGTTCAAGACCGAGTGTATAAACCTGTACCTGCAAAATAATTTAGAGAAACGATACATGAAACTGAAATAAAGCATGTGAAATCCTAAATGTATAACACTAGATTTTTCTTCCTTTCTGCATATATCCCTAACATGTTAATAATGATGTCATACAGTGTTTCCTTATTAAAATAATTTATAGACGTTAACGTGATCAGATCCGAATTTTGATATATTCAGTACCAGGGATGGTAGGCTGGTTAGTCTGAAGTACTTTAGTTATTTATTTTACTCTTCAAGTAAAAGACCTAAGAATAATATTACAGAACCACCACTGGCTTTGATTCTAAACTATTATACATTGCTTGCAACCACTTGACGACAATTTCTTGGACCCTAATAAGTCATGATGCACTGACAGAAACCAACCCAACCTGCTTCTTCTATGCCTCCAAACTGTCAATTTACCTTGCGTTTGTTGTAGTCGACCTGAACGTCAGCAGATATATATGACAATTGCCGATATAAAATTGAGTGGTGTCTAATTCACTAATGTCACTTATTTAGTATGATATCAACACACTCAAGCACCCATTTGCTCTCCCTAATTACTCACATGATGATGACACTTAAACACCAGTATTAAATGAACAGCAGGAACTAGACACATCCAACAAATATTCTTGGCTCAGAATCCATCCTTCAAATGTTCTCAGCTACAACTGGTTGGATCCTGGATGAGGTTACGAGAACACTATAGTTGGTCCACCTTTGCGTATAAGGCTTTCCAAACAGATTGACGGTGTGGCACCCAAATGCCTAGACATATGAATCTGGCCACTCTCAAAAGATATACCACCAAATGTAAGAGCATGGATACGCTCCTACCAGTTTTGTAAAACATTTTGCATTTTACTAGTATAGGAGTTGTGGAGATTATTAAGTTTTTGATTGAGATCATGAACCAATTGATGTTAGACCATCACAATTGAAAACCTGGAAGCACTGGACGGCCGTTTTGTCCTATTGTGGAACTCCTCAGCAGTGCGCATCCACGATCCCGCGAGCGGGATTCGAACCCAGGGCCCTCCGCCTCGCGCGCGAACGCTTAACCAACTGGACCACTGAACCGGCATCCAATGGTGATAGTTTACATTTTAGTAAAAGCTAAAAGGTAATTGACAAAGTGCAAATACTGATAAGCAGCACATCAAAATTCCAAACTGTATCCCATTCGGGATCACTGAATGACGGAAGTGATAACGTTTGGTCTATGGATATCAAGTTTAAACAAAGATCAAGAGCTCTGTTCTTAAATAAAGTTTATTAATAATTAGTTCTGTGTGATTACTTATCATAACAGAAAAGCCACTCGTCTCTGCATGATATCGATGAAATAAGTCTGACAGGTGTAGTTATACTATTTGATCAATGTGTCTTTGGCGTCAAAGAATGATAAATGCAATATTTCAAGCAGAGAAAACGAGTAGGAAAATATCCACCCAAAAGACAACCATGACCTTACTTCACACAAATCTTATTTCCAAAAGCGCTCTTTTGAAGCTTCCTCCCCAAAAAGTAAATAAAATTGGGAGGTATTCAATAAGAATCAGGAAACGGATTTGAAGTAAACGACTTCAGTCAAGAACAAACCTCAATGTAGTTGAAAAAAAATTTATTTTATTCATTAAACTTCAATCTAAAGTTAGTAAACGCATAAGTGTTCCCGTACTACACCAACTTTCGCTTTTTCGGCACTGGTTTAGAAACTTGATGTCCATGGTTAGTAGCCAAAGAAAACTGAACTGAATTACTGGAGGCACTCTCATTTTTGGTTCTTTTTCTTTTGTTTTTATTTGCTTCAAGGTTTGAATTCTTAACAGGACCACTCGGTGATTCAGTTAGAGATTTATTCCCCCGACTTTGTTGCTGATTTAAATGGAAACTACTTTTTCTGCTTTTCATTTTCGGCTTTTCGTTTGACAAAACCTTTGGATCAGTAATTGTTGAAACGATTGGTGCACGAACTAACTAAGACATGAAAAAAATGAGGTACGCAAGGTAAAGTGTACGAAACGTCGACCATAACAGATGAAACATTTAGATTGAGTCAATTAAAAGTCACAGAGCTAATTACGAGCACAAAGTGTAAAAGTAATACACACTTATAAGAGCTGAAACGGCTTATCTATAAGTTGATACAAAAAATAACACGAAATTCATAAGATACGTGATCCATAATTAACTCAAAAACACCACGACCATTACTTCTTTGATTCCCTTTTATCTGAACACTTACAATTGAACATATTAATCACAAAGACATTTCGATTTGAAAAAATGTCATCAAGTTTGTAGTGAACTTTTTACAACTTTGAAAATTATCTAGTATGTTATGAAGCTACTACTACAATTCTACAAAGTAAAATCACTACTTTTGTCAGACTACTGATCGACCTAAAAAGAAAACTTCTGCACTACACGCTATCAATTATAAACTACTACATACAGCTTAAAAATGTTGGCGATTTGAGTAATTCGAACGTTATGGCAGTGGCGGTAGTACTTTAGTAATATGTGGAACAACTAGATATATAAAACTCAACGTCATTCACTCACTGGTCTGACTTAAAACTTTTCGGCATTTGCATGTAGTGATGTCTTGATTACTCACCAAGTAGAAAATAAAACTAACCACCAATAGAAGAATTATTGTGAAAAATGTTTGCTTACAAGTGAAGATTTACGACTCCTTAGGTCAAAGTTTAAGTTAATTGGCGTATCATGGAGGACAACTCCATGTCGTGTATTGAATGCTTCAAGAGCGTCTTTTTGATTGGTAAATATAACACGACAATGCCTTTCGAAAAAAAAATGACAAAAACGAGCTATTATAAAACTGCTGCTGTAGATGCATAAATAATAGTCAACTGACTTCAAATGAAAAACTGCATCACTAATGGGATGAATAGATCGCTAATCACAATATAAGGAAGCGAATGTATGTCTGGCTACTGAGTTCGACTTACCTTCATCTTATCTTGCAAGTCATATTGTGACAAAGCTCGGTTATGAAAACAATAAAATAAAAATTCCACACTTCACTTTAGATCGTTTTCAAGTTAACTAAAGATATATAGGACATTTGAAACATTTCAAAAAAATGAGTAAGCAATTTCTCTTTGTATAAAAGTAGATTCGATCAATCTTCAGCTTTTAAACCTTAGTTCTATAGTAAAACTAGATCATAATTAGAATTTTTGGGACCAGTCAGAGAGAACATTTGATTTGACATTAAATGGTTTTGTTTAGTATACTGTGTAGAAGTGTAGAAGTAAAACAGTTTACGCGTTTTCATCAAATTACGGATGAGTGAGTATTGTTTTTCCGCACATTGGTATTTTCATAACTTTAATGTGAAGTGATTTCTTAAAATTATACCAATTTTAAACCTGTAAACCAGAATTTGAAATTTTTCCAAGTAAGGTTCGAAACGACAAGTCACAACCGAAGTATGTTGCTTGCTTTGGAGCATAAAGTATGCACATCTACAGAAACTAGAGAACGTTAATTCGGTATAAACAAGAGCTGCTAAATTTATTTAAACAGCTACTAATTTTTGTCATTGGATGAACACTATAATGCTATGAATAACACCAAATGCATATTTTATGTACTAAACAATAACACTATCAAATAATGGTTACTAACCACAAAGCACCTTCATGTACAATGAAGTCAAAAGACTCAGCGTTAGGAAATAGGTCCCGAATTTCCTGTTCAGTTGATCGACGATTGATACCTGCTACATACAGTTTATTCAAATTAAATTCATTCAATTCATATGATTGTGGTGGCCTCCAACTATTAGACAGAGATTTACAGCGCTCAGAACATAACTCAACAGTAATAGGAATATCTCCAAAGAATTTGTCACCCAATGACTTAAGACTAGACAATGCTGCTTCACGTGAATTATACTCCATAAGTGCTAATCTACCAAATCAAGAAGTCAATTATTAGATTACAGTATTGGCTAAAAGAATTTACACAACTTTGTACGACATTAATTCATTAGATTTAGCCTCCAGGATAAAAATCTTTGAGGATTGTTGGTGACTTTACAGAAAGGCTAATCGAAAACTAATGCATAAGGACTGAAATACAGCTGGTGATCCATCAATAAAGCCGATTTACACTCTTAAAATCAAAACCATACGTATCAGAAGATGACCAATTGCCATAAAGACCGATCCACTAAAAAAGTAAAAAGTATGGTTGAAGGTGACTAATTGATGGGTGAAATATCTCCTGACATCAGAGAGAACTAGCAGAACTACATTGAAACTTTAAGTAAGCTCTAATTAACTACTTAAAACCGACAGTAAAAAGTTAATATGCGATTACCGATTTGAAGATGCAATAAGAAGTTAGCATATCAGTATGCCATTACAAATTTACAACTTAGATGGCTAAGACTAGTCGATATAAAGTGTGCACCCATTTCGAGTTTTATTCCGAAACAAATCTATTCTGAACGCGTGCATGTCAGAACATTACCCAGTAGACTCTGAAGAGGAAGATGCAAAACAATCAACAACTGAATACAAGAACATCTTATCAACTCAGGGCACTTCTTAACAATGTTGCAGATGGATTCTTTTTTACTTTTTTAGAATCTGGATCGAGAAATCGCCTGTACCATTTTTCTTCTTTTCTTATATCTAATTTTTTCCACTACTACTGATGGTGTTATTACTCCTACTAGTCTGATATTGGTCATAACAATTTTACCACATTGTGCTAACGTGGTGTAGCAACTTCGAACAATGCACTTGCGTATCAGTCTCTACGTTGCGCATGATTGACTGGAATTGACCCACCAGAATTGTATGTCAAAACAATCTGCAAAGTCAGATAAGTGGGATCAAAATAAGCATGAGGAAAAAACCTGCACACTACAAACAAGCAGTTTAAGCCCGAACTCTGGGTGCTAAAGCATCACGTGAAATATCTTATTCTTATGTGCTATTAGCACTCTTCAATGTTTTCTTTGTTTTTAGTAAGTGATCAGTCGTTATCATTCTTTTCTAGATTTTCGGAATTATTATTCTTGTAAAACGGTCAACTCAACTCTCATATTGCTGGTCTATAAACTATTTACACCTCACGATTTTTCTTTACTCTACATCATTACACAACCTCCGTGTAATGTATGAAATCCCCAGGTAATTTGTGGTGGAATCCTTTTCTTATTTTTCAAAAGACTAATATATTTGTTACGTCACTAGAAATACGATTATACAGATTCAGTTAATACCGTCGAAAAATTTTCTTTGCTGAATCGTTGTGAATTCCTTTCCAATGACACCGGGTTTATTCGGTTAATTAATAGAACTACCACGAGATAAAGTATGTGAAAAAAATCAAAAGAAACATAACGATATAGAAATGTAGCATGATATGCGATACTCTAAAGAGAAGAATTACCTATGTTTTAAGTGACGGGACGGATTTAGCAACCGACCATTTGCTGAACTACGACACAATGCTTTCAGCTGAGAAAGACTTGTATTTCGTGGTAATTTACGTAAATATAATGTGCGTGAATTCATTTCATCTATCGAAGCAAAACAGGATGAATGAAGTTTTCAACCAAACAGATAGAAACCAAAAACTACCTATCAAAGATAAGAACTTCATAGATTCTAGATATCCTTTCAGATGACTAAAATCAATTATGAATAATCGACCAAGAAGGAGTAAAATAAAGGCACAATGAAGAGCAAGAAGTGTGAGATCATACCTAGGGTACAACAGTCAATATCACGTTTGAAGACCTACTCGTTTAGTTAAAGTGGCTGTAATGAGTGGCCGGACTGATAAATTGAATAGATTACATAAAACAAAATCCCTACCCATTTACTTATTTATGAATAAGAGATTCAATCAAATAAGTTCAAGTTACTTTTCAGTTAGTCAAAAGTAATGAGGATCAAAATCACAGACTAACTAGTGGATTTTCGCTTTTATAGTTGTAACATATAATACACGCAGAAAACAAAAATATACAATTATAGACCAATAGTATGGATAAATGTGAAAAATAAAAGTAACCAGCAGGATAGAAATAATCGTGAACCAAACTATTATGTATTATGTACTTTCGAGATCCGATTTCAAGTCATATTTTTAATACAACCGTACGTATTATTAATAGAATTTTGTATACAGTCGGAACAGCACAAGTCTTCTTTCGAAACTGTACTCATAGACAATTAACTTAAACTAAATAAGTCAGCGATCACAAACAGACATTGATGTGAATGACAGTCACTTGATGAACAGCCATTGATGAAATCTATATTTTCTAAGTAGAATTCCAAATGTTCAGAAATCACTCCATGCGTCCCAGAGTTGCTGGTTGGTGATTTGAACACTCAGCTTTTAACCAAAGTTTGAACCATGTTCAAAGTGATATTTCTAGAATTAGTAAAGATAGCTTAAAGTAATAAACGAACCCAATGGTAATAAACGACTTTCATGAACATCAATTTCAACTTATTATCTATCGACATATGAGCACTTAAATGAAACTAAGAAAACGGTGACTTTGGTCTTTCACCTATCACCAGTAGATACATAAGACCAATGAATACGGAAACTTCACGATATTGAAAGTTTTCATTGTCATTGGAATGCGGAATACTGCACCTTAGAAGACACATTTCTAGAGATGATTAATGTCATTCATTTTTAGCCACTGTGTGGAAAATGAAGCCTAAATAAGTAATCCACTACGCGATCTTACAATTTAACATCATAATAGTAGTGAAGCCATAGAGGGTTAGATCAACTTATTTTCTCGAGGCGGTCAAAGGTGCCAAAACTAAATGTTTATTCAGAAAATTTAGATATACTAAAAAAATATCAACAACGTCTGTAGTTATTTATTTATTTATTTATTTATTTGAACACATAAATATTGGTACAAGAGAGCGCCAATATATATGCGCCACACAAAACAATGAAAATTCGAAGAGAGATGGAAAAAAAACTAAGGAGCGCAAAAGAAAAAGAGAACGATAACGAAGAGATTGGTGTAAGGTAGTGTGGTAGTAACGAGGGAACGGAAAGGTACAATCAGAAATCTTTCAAATAAGGGAGACACAACCACTTTTTATGAAGAAAGTAAAAGAAGGTTACAGCAGGATCGCCACTGGCTTCTATTCTGAGCCATATCTGATAACGTCTCTAGCCACTGTGTAGCACCATCTCTCAGACCCCAACCAGGGAGTCGTGAAGGACCGACAGAAGCCAGTCATTTGAAGCGTTCTTTCATACCACGACACCATGTCATGCACTGACCACCTCCCCGCTGTTTCCAACCAGTCCCAGAGTCGGTAAATAATGCACGACGTGGAATTCTCTGGGACGACATTCGTAGAACATGTCCAAGCCACCGAAGTCGGTGTTTCAAGATGGTGACACCAATTGAATTATCATCTCTGTGGCCGAACACACGATGCCGAACCTCTGCATTACTAACATGGTGTTGCCACTGAATGTCAGCAATCCTTCGGAGACAGCGATGATCGAACACAGAGAGTCGTCTAACGTCCTCAACTCGGAGAGGCCAGGTTTCACAAGCATAGAGCAAAACTGCTCTCACGGACGCGTTGTAGATCCGACCTTTTACAGCCAGACTAACATCACGAAGGCGCCAAAGGTGGCCCAGATTGGCATAAGCCGCTCTGGCTTTCACTATACGTGCATTGATCTCATCACTCACACCCCCATCAGCACTTATGCAGCTACCCAGATACACGAACTTCTCGACTACGTCTATCTGCTCACCATCCGGGGTGAGTACAGGATTGGAATCCTGCCAGTCTTGTAGAAGTACTTTGCACTTCGAAGGTGCAAAGCACATACCATACCTACGGACACTGATTGCCAACTGATTAAGTGCGGATTGCATGCCTTGGGGATTATCGCACAGTAAGACAATATCGTCCGCATACTCAAGGTCGAGAAGTCTTTCTCCAGGCAACAGATCCACACCACCATTACTTACATTCATCAGAGCTGTTTCCAGAATGTCATCGATGGCAAAGTTGAAGAGGAATGGTGAGATTGGGCAACCCTGCCTAACCCCACTGCTCGAATGGAACAATGGAGAGAGGCGGTTGTATGCCCTCACTCTCCCTGAGGTGTTTTTGTATAGGGCCTTTAGAATGTTAATAAACTTCTCAGGCACATCCTTCTTGAATAGACAATCCCAGAGAACAGTCCTGTCCAACGAATCGAAGGCAGCCCTGATGTCAAGAAACACTACGATTGTTGGCCTTTGATAAGTATGGCGATGTTCTAACATTTGGCGGAGGGTGAAGAAATGATCAATACATCCTCGACCAGAACGAAACCCAGCCTGCTCCTCGCGAGTCAATCTTTCTCGGGTTTTGAACAACCTACGAAGTATGACGGAAGCCAATAGCTTGGACGCAATCGGAAGTAGACTTATCCCCCGATAGTTGTGAACCCTTTTTAAAGATAGGGACAACTATCGACTCATTCCATGACGTTGGTACACTCTCTAGTTCCCAAACCTTTGTAAACAACGTCGTCAATTCCTTAGTCAAAAAGTCCCCACCATCTTTAAAAAGAGCCGGAGGTAAGTCATCTGGGCCAGGTGATTTGTAACGCTTCAAGAGTTGGAGTTCCTTGTGGACTTCCTCCTCGTTTGGTGGATCAGTCGTCACCGGCCATGGAGGGCAGGACAGTTTGACCGATGCTGCCGGAGCAGCAGGCCAGTTGAACTGCCCTTCGAAAAATCCTGCCCATCGTCCAAGACGTCGATGGATGTTAGTGATTGGCATCCCATCATCCTCACAGATTGTTTCACTCACACCAGACTTCTTGCTGCCAGTGGCTCGGGTGAGCTGGAAGAGCTTCCGGTAGTTACCAGATGTAGTTGCTGCTTCCAGCTCATTAGCACGCTCCGACCACCAGGCTTCTCGGTCCTTACGCAAGCTTTGCCCAATTTCCTTACGTAACATCCTTCGTTTATGGTCAAACTCACGGTCACCCGGAGTAGACCGACGGGCTTCAATAAGTTGTAAGGAACCAGAAGAAACCCAGTGCTTATAAGCGGGACGTTTCGCAAACCCACAACTGACTGTTCCCGCCATTTTCATGGCGTCATGCAATTGCGACCAATGCTCACCTATACTTTTCGGTGGAGTGGTAGCTAGCCTAGAGGCTAGCTCGGTTCGATACTTATTTGCAACAGAAGTTGCAACCAGCTTGCTAATATCAATCCGTTGATGGCGGTCACTTCGTTGGCCACTGAAAAGTAAGGCAAGATTGGCGCAGACCAAGGCATGGTCAGAGTCCAGATAGGTACTCCAAAAGGAGCGGCAGTCTTGTACACAACCACGCTAGCGGTAGCTGATCGCGATGTGATCAATCTGAGTTCAGGTTTGAGATGCAGAGGGAGGACGCCAGGTGGCACATCGGCGATGACTGTTCCGAAAGTTAGTGCTAGCCAGAAACAGGTTGTGGTCTGTGCACAGTTGCAGTAGACGGTCCCCGTTATCTGACCTGCGACCAACGAGTCCCCATCGGCCACCTAAACGACTCTCTTCTGTGCCTAGACGCCCGACCTGAGCATCCAAGTCTCCGGCTAGTACTACAATATCTGTCGAGCGTACTTTCTGAAAAAGATCAGTTAACTGGTGGTAAAACTCATCTTTGATTGCATCCGGGCTGCAATCTGTCGGGGCATAGGCGGAGATGACGAAAAGACATCGTTTCTCACGCCGATTTCTTCTCACTTTGATGGAACTTTCTAATCTAACAGCACATAACCGACTGTTAATGGGGATCCAATCGACTAGTGCTGCCTCATCTCTAGCGCTTAGTGCGACACCAACGCCAGCAAGACCAGACGAAGATGCCACAGGGTCCCCGGATAAGCGCACGTAAAACAAGCTTTTTGAAGTGACAGATGTAGAGCGAATTTGTAGTACTTCACCAGAGTCTTGAATACGGGTCTCGGATAGACAGCAGACATCAATATTAAGACTTTCCAAAGACATAGCCAGCCCTATCTGTTGTCCGACCTGCATAAGTGTGCGAACGTTGAAGGCATCCAGTTTGAATGGCACACGTGGTTTCAGAAAAACTGCTTCAGTTCTCATATTCGATGGTAACATACAATTTTTAACCGGACAGTGACTCGAGAACGTTTAGATACAGTCGAATTTCCACCAAAGACGAGCCGCTGTATAAGTATAAAAGAGGGTGAATAATGTGGAAAATAATAATAATAATAATGACAATAATGGTAGTAATAATAATAATAGTATTAATAATGACAATAATTGTAATGATAATAATTTGAATCAATTTATTGTTTTTCGAAGCGAGAAAAGTAATTTCCATAGACGTGTAGAGTTCATCATTTGCGTGTGGGCTGTGATACTGCCCGGGTGCCCAAACCGAAGCAGGTGGTTTTCTTAGGGGGCCACACCTCGAGCCTTTGACCTAATGGTCTAACCCACAAGGCAGTGGAGCATCGTAAGGAGATGCGATCCCATGGTAGCCGGTGACCAACGATTGGTTCATACGCCATTTGTTCCCGCAGGATACTGGAGCCCATGTGCACCATTGGTTTGTGATCCGGTTAAAGCGCCAGACATTCGCTTTTCGTCCTCTCATTTTCGTAAACAACACCCCCGCCACGAGAAGGCAATGAGTAGAACTTTCCTGGCAGAGGCTGTATACGCGCGGCCGTGTGAGAGTATTTCGAGAGGGAGAGCGGACTCTCCCCACTCTCGGTCGTACCAGGGCATTCGGGGGGTCTGTAGTAATACCTCTAAACTCAATTACTATCCTCGTAGAGGAATGAGAGGGTCGTCTATCATCGTACATGCTATTTTACTGTTCGAAAAGACATTTGCTTTTTGTTTTTATATCTTTGAGCTTGATTATGAGGTGAAATATATTTAAAAATTTACTAAATAAAAGGAATGAGACATGAAAAAAAAAAAATAACTATTTCATTAAGAGATAATTCTAGAATAACTTACTTATTCGGCTCCTGATTTCAGTCAGAAGTGTTTCTTTATTTTGTTCCATTTTGGAGATTGCTAAAAGGTTAGCGTCAACCTGTTGGAAAACGAAAACCTTATTTGTGCAATGTCTAAACATTTTTTACCCATGTTATTTTAATCAACATATGAAAAGAAACCCAAATGACTCAACTGGTGAAATTCTAGTTAAATGTATAAAAACAGTGCGAACAGTTTGATAATTTTTTTGAAACAGAATAAATAAAAAATACTACTCTTACATATGAATCCCAAGAAAGATAAACAGCACCATCAGTCGTTTGACTAAAATACAAATTCATACCTACAACCCTATGATTTTTCTTGAATTGTATTTCATGTAACATGAAGCTATTTTCTGAACAGATTACTTAAAAGGTAACTATCTCATTAAACAAATTTAAAATAACCACTCAGAAAACTTTTCGTAAGAACTAGTTGACTGTCAGTGAGAGAAAACCATCAATGACTGGATTATATATTCCTCTAGTTCTAGAATTAGGTAGTTACTAGATATGCAGCCAACTCTGTCTGTAGCTCTTCTAGAGTTACTGTCGGTCCCAAGCCCGGGTAAAGGAAGAGGGTTGTGCATGGGGTTAGCGACCCCATCCGGTAGAAAACTAACTCGCTAAGAAAACGCTAACCAGAAAAAATAATTCAAACCATTTGAAATCTGCCCTGGGAGTTAGAAGCTTTTCATTTAGGAGAACTATGACGCCTCATGGTGAAAGCCGAGTTCCTTCGGAAGCCACGAGGCCGGTGCCCCTTCTAACAACCAGAGCAAACATTTTTGTAGGTACATGGAACGTCCGAACAATGTGGGAGACTGGGAAGACCAGTCAAAATAGCAACGGAAATGAGGAGATACAATTTGGCAGTACTGGGAATCGGCGAAACCCACTGGACTCAAGCTAGACAACAAAGGCTAAATACGGGAGAGATGCTGCTATACTCCGGTCACGAAGAGGAAAATGCTCCACACACCCAGTGAGTTTCTCTAATGCTATCCAAAGTAGCACGAAATGCACTTGTAGGATGAAAATCTCAAGTATCCAGAATCATCAAAGTATCATTCAAAACAAAGGAGGTGATCACAATGAATAGTATCCAATGTTATGCATCCACCAATGATAGTAACGACGACAGTAAAGATCAATTCTACGAGAGGCTGCAATCAATTACAGAGAAGGGCCCAAGAAAGGACCTCACCATTCTGATGGGAGATCTAAGCGCCTAAGTCGGAATAGACAACACCGGATATGAAGACATCATGGAACGACATGGACTGGGAGAGAGAAACGAAAATGGGGAAAGATTTGTAAATCTATGTGCATTCAACAAATTGGTCATAGGCGGCATAATATTTCCACACAAGCGTATACACAAAGCTACATGGCCAATCACTGAAATTCAAGAACAAAAGGACAGATGGGTAGAGTACTTCGAGGAACTCCTGAATAGGCCGGCTCCAATGAATCCATCGGACATCGAAGCAGCACACAGATCTTCCCATAGATGTCAATCCACCAATGACGGAAGAAATCAGAATGGCCATCAGACAAATCAAGAGCGGGAAAGCAGCAGGCCCCCTAAATGCCCTGTACGGCCGAGAGTGGGGAGAGTTCCGCTCTCCCTCTCGAAATGATCTCACATGGTCACGAGTATATAGCCTCTGCCAGGGAAGTCCTACTCATTGCCTTCTCGTGGCGGGGGTGTTGTTTACGAAAATGAGAGGATGAAAAGCGAATGTCCGGCGCTTTAACCGGATTCCAAACCAATGGTGCACATGGGCTCCAGTATCCTGCGGGAACAAATAGCGTATGATTCAATTGTTGGTCACCGGCTTCCATGGGATCGCATCTCCTTACGATGCTCCACTGCCTTGTGGATCAGACCTTCAGGTCGAAGGCTCGAGGAGTGGTCCCCTAAGAAAACCACCTGCTTCGGTTTGGGCACCCGAGCAGTATCACAGCCCTCACACATATCGACTGAGATTTGTGTGGCGCATATGTATTTGGTGCCTCCTTGTACCAATATCTGTGTTAAAATCAAAATAAAAAAGGACCTGACAACATACCAGCCGAAGCACTGAAGTCAAACATCGAAGTAACTACAAACATGCTTCACCTTCTATTCAAGAAGATTTTGGAGGAAGAGCAAGTGCCGATGGACTGGAAAGAAGGGCACCTCGTCAAGATTCCAAAGAAAGGAAATCTGAGCAGATGTGAAAACTAGAGGCATTACACTACTGTGAACACCAGGGAAAGTCTTTAACAGAGTGTTGCTGAACCGGATGAAAGATGCAGTAGACGCCCAACTTCGAGATCAACAAGCTGGATTCCGTAAGGATCGGTTGTCCACAGACCAAATTGCAACACTACAGATCATCGTCGAACAATCAGTTGAGTGTACTCGTCACTATACATTAACTTCATTGATTATGAAAAGGCATTTGACAGTGTGGATAGGAGGACGTTATGGAAACTTTTTCGACACCACGGAGTTCCTGAGAAGATTGTCAACATTATCCGGAACTCATACGACGGACTACAGTGCAAAGTCATGCATGGAGGACAGCTGACAGATGCATTCCCAGTAAGACGAGGAGTCAGACAAGGCTGTCTACTCTCTCCCTTCCTCTTTCTTCTGGTGGTCAACTGGATTATGAAGACCTCGACATCTGAGGGAAAACACGGCACAAAATGGACAGCTCAGAACCAATTACACGATTTGGACTTCGCAGATGACCTAGCCCTCCTATCGCATACACATGAACAAATGCAGATGAAGACAGCCAGTGTAACAGCAGTCTCTGCATCAGTAGCCTCAACATACACAAAGGGAAAACCGAGGTCCTCAAATACAACACCGAGAACAGCAATCCAATCACTCTTGATGGCGAAACTCTGGAAGATGTAGAATTTTTCACATACCTGGGAAGCGTCATCGATGAACAAGGAGGTTCAGATGCAGACGTAAAGGCGAGAATTAAAAGAGCAAGGACAGCATTCCTTCAATTGAAGAACATATGAAACTCAAAACAACTTTTAACCAATATCAAAGTCGGAATCTTGAATACGAATGTCAAGGCAGTTATACTGTACGGAGCTGAAACTTGGAGAACTACAAAAACCACCATCAAGAAGGTACAAGTACTTATAAATAACTGTATACGCAAGACATTCAACATCCATTGGCCGGATACCATCAGCAACAGCATTCTGTGGCAGAGAACAAACCAGCTTCCAACTGAAGAGGAAATTAGGGAAAGATGTTGTGGGTGGATAGGACATACATTACGCAAATCGCCATACTGTATCACGAGGCAAGCCCCAACTTGGAATCATGAAGGAAAGCGGAAAAGAGGAAGGTCACAGAACACATTACGTCGGGAAATAGAAGCAAATACGAGAAGGATGAGTAACTGGAAAGAGCTGGAAAGGATTGCCGAGGACAGGGTTGGATGGAGAATGCTAGTGAGCGGCCTATGCTCCTTCATGAGGAGTATGAGGCGTAAGTAGACATGCAGCCAATTTAAACAAAATAATTGGTCAAGACTTAAGAATCCCAAAATTGTACTCAAAAAATTACATTACTTCATTTACTAATATTCCAGCTATACATAAGCCCAAAAATTTACCTTATAATCTCTCTCGACTGCACCAGAAGCAACTTCTGCTTAGTGAAAGAATTTCCAATAGGATTGTGTAGAATCAACTGTTCTTAAACCGTTATTTAGCCCTAGTCAGTAAATGGATATTTTCAAGGCCGCATTACAAAGTAGCCTACACGAGCTCCCAATTTCGGGGAAAATTTGACCTATTTTGGTGAAGCCGCCATAGTAAACTTTGGGGAAATGGCACGATAACCCCAAAATTTCTCCAGACCTGAGGAAATTCCCCAGTATTTCCCCAACATTCCCGTTTAATTTTGGTGAAGGTCATTTGACTTCAGGAGTTTCCCCAAACTTGTGAGCTCGGGTATAATGTCGCTGAAAGGTCGTCCATAAATTACCCGATATCTGTGAAAATTCAGGACTTAGCCGAAATACCTCAAAATTTTGTCTTTACTTTTTCATGAAAATGGACATTCATGAGAATGTTCATTAACGCATAATATCCATATAGAAAGCTGGGAGATAGTAATAGAAAAAGTGAGCAGACGACTCATCAAGCACATGCACACTCATTTATAACAAAGAAAGCGATCAACGGCAATTATAAATGACGCAATCGTGAGATAAAGACAATATAATAATCATAAATAGAAGCTGATAGAATAACCCTCTCAACCCGTTACAGATGCAGCCTCAAACACGCCGCTTTTTGCCAACGACCTTGGAGGGTAGATCCATGGTCAGAACAACACAACCATCCCAAACCATATTATCACACGACGAGCTAGTACATAAGAACTGACTTCATTCAGATAATGAACTGATGAACGGTTTCAAGTATACAGTTGTTTTGTCGGATAAAGGTAAACAAAAGGCACTCCAGACTGCCTAGAGACTGGAAAGAAACAATAATCAGTCCGGTTTATAAGGCGGGGAGCAGAGACTTAGTTAGTAACTATCAAACCGTTAGTCTAATCAATTCAGTTGTCACATCCATGGAAAAGGTTATTCGGGTGGCTGCTTTAAACTATGTGAAAGGACATAGTCTTTTATCCAGGGAACAACACAATTTACGGAAAAGTCTACTATGCTTGCAAAATCTCCTCACTGAATGATATGATTGGGTTGAGGCAAAAAGATAGAAGTATTCCCGTAGATGTCAGTTTCACAGACCTAACCAAAGCCTTTGACAAGGTCCCTTATCCAGGTCTTAAATTAAATTTGGAAAGGTTTGGAATCCATTGTCAAACCATAGGCTGGATAAGTGACTTTCTCAACGATAGGAGACAGAGAAAAAGGGCAGATAGCGTGATGACCTGTAAAATGTGGAGTTCCCCAAAGTAAAATCCTTGGTCCCCTTCCTTTTTTACTTTGTGCAAATGAATTATCAACTTTAGCAGTCATCTGTTCTATTCTTCGCCGGTGGCATAATGATTTGGAGACCCATACACAGTATGTCTGGTAGAATAATATTAAAGAATGAT